GCTTTCACAAGCTTTTGGCGAGCTTAGAGCAAACTCATTCCGGTAGCCACTCCCGCCGAGGTAAAAGATAAGCATGTTCACATGACCCTGTGCGAATGGTTCCATAGGAGTGGTAATTGACTCATTCTTTTCTTGGCAAATAAATCAAATTGGCCAAAAAACAATAAGACCACATGAGGATAGCCTATGTTATCACAAGTATACTTCGCAACGGAATTGCGTATTTAAGTTGAACATTGAGAAATAAGCGCCGAAAACATTATTTCGGATGCATTTTAAAATTTATCCTGAAGCACTTCCCTTCTCTGTTTCTCAATTGGCGCACTGCGCACTACACACAGTTTAGCAACTATTAATACATGGATGCAAAGTTTCTTCTTGAGTAATGAGAGGGAAACTAACAAAATAACAACCGTTGAAACTATTCTCTTCCATTCTTCTTATTTTCAAAATCTAATCATGTAAAATGTAAAACCACATAGGAAGAGTTCATGGACTCACCGTATGCATCCAGAAGCTGGCAACTCGAAATGGCATCATAATGGTAACTCTACGAGTTAGAGCAATGAATTAATTCTTTGGAAATTTCTTCAGCGTTGAAACCGCTTAGATCACTGTGAATTTCTATTGGAATGTACTGGGTCATAATTAAAACGTATTCAAAAGAGGGAGCTTGATCAGTTTGTGATGTAAATTTATAATAACATCACATTGATGTCAATGCATTAGTAAGCTAGTAGAAATATATCAGTATTTATGGCTGACTATGTAACCTATGTTCGAGATAGGTTTTCTTATAGTCCGAGTGATGAGATGATTCGGATGTGGCGAGATGATGATCGATAGGTTTCTTATAGTCTGAGTGGTGAGATAATTCAGATGTGGCGACATGGTGATCGATCACCGACGAAAACTTTTAAAAATGATCCAATTCAAGAGGCAAACTGGACATTTGGTGGTGGCGGATTCGGGCAGTTGTCACCAGTACTATTAGAGTCTGTAGTCTATGTGATTGTTTTGTAAAAAGAAATTCCTTGCAGCTTGGAATGCATCAGATGTTGAGGTTGGGAAAACTAATACGAGAAACTTATATTGACACCAAATTCTTATCCAATCGGTATTCGTCAAAAGAAGTCTGTGCTCTTTTGAAAAATGTTAAGACATCTTGACATTATATCACAACTTCCAGATATACATTCGTTCAACCGACACCAACAGGACTATCATATCTGCACTAAGCAATATAATGGGAATGTACGGTACGAATGCAGACCACGTCCCTGGTAGGGACTATCCAGATGATACCAGTTGGCCTAGTGGATATGTTCCAATACCTGTGCATACAATCTTTAAGCCTACTGATTATGTATGTTTTAACATTATTCTTTTTTAAATTTTCTCATTTTCATGTTTCTAGTGGGTTGTCGGATAATTTCGTACCGTTTTCTAGACTCGAAAATAATTTAACAAGAATGTAACTACGATCCTTCAAAATAAGAGGCTACCACAGGATGCGTTGTATTTCAAACTGCCTTCCGCATCTGCTGACAGTTTTTTGAAGGGACGAAATAAAAACGAATTTTTGGTGCTAAAATTTATCCCAGTCAAAAGTTTTATATTGCTTACTTAGAGCGATATTAAAGTATTAACAGTATGGTACATAATGCAATCTGACACAAAAGAACGTCCAGTAATTTGTTAGAGAATCTCTAAGCAGATTTGGAAGGCTTTGAAATCAACATCTACAGAAAAGCCGCGATCGCTGAGTATCCTCCCATTGTAAGCAAGCGGAATTTTTAGAGCATATTATTCACTCAAAAAGTATGTTTCTTTTGTGGAATAGTATGCTTGGCTTATTCATGACTTCGGTTTTGTGGAAGAAGTGATTGAAAATGTATTTCTAAGCGGGTTAAACTGTTCCGATAATTTGAATTTTTGGGTGAGGAACTTCGATGTTAAAACATAATTGGATATGGTGATTAAGGAAATATAGCCACTATGACAGAGAAACCAATATAACTCGGAATCTCTCGCTTTTGGAAAAATCCTACAGTCACACTATCGTGGCTGTACCACCTGCTGACTCCGCCACGCTGGCGCTTTGCCATGTTGTCTGTAATATGTTTTCATTTTTATTTGACTTCAGTTCTAAGGCGGGGAAAAATTCTGAAGATTCATGATCGATTTTATGATCATTGTTTTTGTATACGCATTTCTGAACTCTTTTAGTCAGCCATAGTGAAGAACTGGAAGCACGCGCAAGGTAACCAAAACGAGTCACGTTCACCCAGCGTTCCTTCTTGTGCCATAAGCAAAGAATCCTCCCCTTATTGGGCAAAAAGCGCCGAAATAGTTGAGCAAAATGACGTATTCTTATAAGAGCGTTTCTCGAATTTTGCCGCTTTCCGCCCTACATCATGGAAGAATCATGGTGATTATGCCGACGCATCCACAGTGAATTGAGCCGCTACAGCCACTTGAGAATTGAAATCAATCAATAAACAACTTGGCAAAGTTCCAGCGGGGCGAAGTCAGCAGTGGTCAAGCCACGATGGTGTATGTGTAGGATTTTCAAAAGTGACATATTTGGAGTTATAGCGGTTTCTCTATGAAAGTCCCCACTGCAGAAGTAGGGTATGTTCACGTTGCAGGATAAAGCTCACGAATTTGTCTGGAAGGTGGTCTGGTCTACTTTAGTTAACTGATGTGCCGCTGACAGAAAACATATCCATTCCCCATGGCGAAAACACTTCGCACAGTAGACCTACCTGATCAGTTATTC